ATGGTGGCAATATTTAGAATATGGCAAATAAAATTAAAGGTAATGTAACCCTGATTTTTCAACATGAAAATAATTACCTTTTAAAGTACTATGAATAGTGATTGTATTCGCTTAATAAGATTATTGAACACATAATTTTTATTCATATATGTAAAATTAAATATATTTTAAAAAATGGCAGTAAGTATTTAAAAAATGTAACATGTGTGAGCAATTACTCCAAAAACTATACCAGATCTAGAATAACAGTTCATTTTAGCACAATAATACAAGTCTTTCCTATAACTGCCATTTTTCTGCCTGAAATGGCAAGGTAAGATTTCCAAAAACTAAAACAAAAATTTTGACACTCGTCGCATCCAAAAAGGCCATCTTCTTTTGGAAGAAGGTTGTAAAGCAAAACTTTAGTCTTAAATACACTTTGCTACAGTAAGCTGTGCGCGAACTCGTCCAGTTTCATGCGTCCCCTGTCAAGGAAAGGGAAATTGTGCACATTTTTGTCCGCTTTCACATGTATCTGACCCGGTGCAATAGACCTACGATATCGCGAATGCCCCCCAAATACCCCAATATATATATATATATATTTATATATATATATATATATATATATATATATATATATATATATATATATATATATATATATATATATATATATATATATATATATATACATACATACTGTTGTACCGGGTTTTTTAAATCTTGCTTACTTCTATTTCTTGTATTTTGATTGAAATGAATGAAATGTCCGCCATCTTCAATTTTTGTATATATGCATGTCACGTCACAACAGGGGTCACGCAATATTTTTATCTAGACAACCACTGTCTAATCATTTTGCACTCAAAACTATACTCTGTCGACCCTTCAAAATTTCAGGATCACTAAAACTTTTAAAACATCTACCGATCAACATTTGGCCAGCAACGAATACTTTTATATGGTTAATCAATGTTGTGACGTCACCAAAACTACCGCTAGGCTAATGAGATCAAAAATCATGTTTCGCTCGCTACTCTGGTTTAAATAAATGATTACAAAGCCCAGTCGAATTGTAATCAAGACCCAACATTTCGACACTCCAGTCTACTGTCTTCATCAGGGGTGATCTAAAGATGCAATCGTTGGGAAAACGATTACCCAAAACGTTTTCTTAATGATTGCCGGAGATCACCTGTTTTTAGGAACCAACATAACTCCAAGGGTGATACCTCTGTTAAGGGTTATGCAATAGTTCCATAATTCAAGGTGTCACAGAACCAATCAAGAGAATCTTAAGTAAATGTAATATATTAAGGTTGCCTTAAAACCCTATTTAACTTTAGGCCATATTTTCGCAAAGCCAAAAGATCCTGTTAAAACAAATCAGAAAACTCATGCTGTATATTCTATACCATGCGGTGACTGCGAGAAAAAGAATTTAGGTCAGTCTAAACGCCAGTTTGGTACACGGCTAAAAGAACCTCAAAAGGCTGTTTCAACTTTAGCCAAGCGAAAATCAGCTTTAGCCGAACATGTATGTTACACAAAACACGAGATTGCGTGGGAAAACTCTAAAGTAATTACCACAAACAATCTCTATGGTCAAAGACTTTACCTAGAAGCGTGGCTGATAAATATGAGTAATCATGCTTTGAATAGGGATGACGGTGGCTATTTGCCAGAGGAATATATGCATCTCATTGGCAGGTGACGTCATCCCTTGGGTATTTAAGAAGCCACGATTGCATCTTTAGATCACCCCTGATGAAGACACTAGACTGGAGTGTCGAAACGTTGAGCCTTGATTACAATTCGACTGGGCCTTGTAATCATTTATTTAAACCAGAACAGTGAACGAACAAACTTGAGATCAAAAATGTTTCCAAGATGGCGGACATCACACTTTACTAGTGAGAATATTTCAAGAACTAAGCAAGATATGAAAAATCGGTAAAAGAAGTCAATATATGATGTTTGTGATGTTACTCTGAGCATGCATCCACACTGGGCAAACAACATGACCACGTGGCTCAGTTGGCAGAGCATTGGACTGATATCCCATGCAAAGGTCGCGGGTTCGATTCCCACCGTGCCCAAGCAAACTTTTCAGCTTGCCCGGTGTGGACGCATACTCAGAGTAACATCACAAACATCATATTCACCTGAGTACATAACACCAACACACACACACACAAAAAGTCAATATATAGTTTCAAAAGTTTTTTCAAATGAGAAAATAAAACTCTATATTGCCATTTCCTTCAACTTTCGGGTTTCGAGATATAAGGTATATTTTATGCGGCAAAGCGAAAATGAAAACTGAATAAATTCGATTTGCATGAGTGGCTGCTGTACACTGTATCTTTATGACACAAATTCGTGTACTTTAAACGGATACGATTCTAGAAGAACTATTTGGTAGTTGTGTGGCCCTCGTCTCGCGTTTGATCATTCAAACACCACCGATATCCCGAGAAAATCTACAAAGCGAGTACTGGAGTACACGTTAATATCCGCTCCAAATCCTGAACAAGACGAAGTATACGACGGCTTAATACACCGGGAGTACAAACAAGATGCACCGACCGAGGTCCCTTGTTATGAAGATGGGACGTTTGTTCGGATGCAAGCTGACCCAAGGCGAAATTTCTGCGAATCATAAATCCAAAGTTTGAAGTCAAATGTCGGATTAATAATGGCGGTTGTTTTCGTATTAGGGTCGCTTACAGTTGTAATCGTCTACGTGGTCAAATGAAGCTTGTACAGAATGGACGGACAAAAATCTCAGTGTTCCAGCGCACGTACACACATCACGGATTATTGGAAAGTATTATTGCCGTTGTTTTCAGAGTTTCCAGCATGCATCACGATGTTGTGGGGTTTCAGAGAGTTAGAGAATTAAAGACATTGCTCATCAATTACTATGGTAACGACTATAGTGATTGACGAGTACCCCGTGTACGTGTACTTTATAAGCTGAAATAATAATTAAGTATTATTGTACTAGTAAAGATAGTAGCATACCTTGTTGTATTAGTGACTGAGTAGTGTGAAGCCGATTAGTAGTTAGGCTTCATAATTAATATTGTAAATTTTTATTGTGTACATGGCCCATTGAAAACCAGCGAATGCTGAATGGCTACCGTGTTTAAATCATTTTAATAAAACAATAAAACAATAAAAAGAATTACCTTGCGCGTTTATTTTTCTGCGCGTTTGTACCAGGATCCATAACTTGTGTTTATAGAATTATTATGCTTGATAAGTTTACCAACGTTGATTACAACCTATACAGGTGAGTAATAAACTGGTTAACACCACCATACAAGTAAATTATCTATAAAGCTTTTTGAATTTAGATCTACAGTACATGATTCATATAGTAAATGATTTGTATAATTTTTATCTTAAGTAAATAATCTATAAAGCTTGTTGAACAACTGGAAAGAGAAGTTTAAAGTACTTAATTAACGACGTTTTGAGGAAAGACTTTCCGCGACCATTCAACAATTACGTCTAGGATGGTGCCGGGCTGGTCTGGTTAATAGACCTTTCCCCTTATGCGTGAAATTTTGATCTAGACAAGCCTGGACAAACATTTCATCACAGCTTGAAAGAGCATCACAAAATTAGTAACATTCCGATTCAGTCCCTCTACAAATGGGAAATTGGTAATCAGTTTCAACATCTGATTATCCATTTCCCGTTTGTAATGCAAAATGACTGAAAAACGGCAAACTTCGCAAGGCTATATTATCCGCATTTTACAACATTTCGCAACGAAACTTTGGCATATTACTAATTTTGTGATGCCCTTTCAAGCTGTGATGAAATTTTTGTCCAGACTTACCTACACTAAAATATAGAAATCGCTTGACAATTATCATGACCTTTAACTTCTATGTGTTTATATAACTCAAGATAGTAATAAATGTATTTTAAAACTGAAACCTTGTGCAAACTTTTGCCTGCAAAGCCCGCGTTTCCGCCTGCGCAAACCGGCCGCCTGATTAGTGTACAAACATGTTGTACGTTAATATATGCATGCACCCAAGCGTCGCTAATGACTTAGCAACACGTAACATAACAACGTATATAACGACTACATGTTTTTATCGCAAAATATATCACAACTGTTCTAATTCTAACTTATATTCTTCATAAGCTTACTTATGATCTGACTCGGTCATCCTAACAGTATATATGTATGTAGAAGATTTGCTAAATAACGTTGAACAACATGCAGATATTGACCTTAACAACGACGTTGACAACCCGGGCTTAGCAACTGTTTAGTTCTGTTTAAAATATGTCTTGATTTTTGTGACGAATAGATCCCTCGCTATAATTTTGTAAACATACAAAAAATCCTTCAATATACTCGTGGAAATTTATCGCTTCCGAGCAAAGATACGGCTATAACTCTGTTATATATTAATTTCGATAAGAATTTTGCCATGCGAGGGACACAAACTATTCATAGCAAGCCAATCTTAATCCCTCTATTGTATCACACACGTGGGGGAAAACTAAAAAATGCTTAGTCAGCAAGTTTCACCCGTGCTTGTTTAAACCTGCCCGGGTGACGTCATTGCATATAATTATGACGTATGTTAATCATGAGTGACGTCACTACGCACCCTCATTTGTATGAATATTAATTATAAATGAGGAGGTGGACACCCACCACCTCAAACTCCACCACCTCAAACTCCACCACCTCAAACTCCACCACCTCAAACTCCACCACCTCACACTCCACCACCTCACACTCCACCACCTCACACTCCACCACCTCACACTCCACCACCTCACACTCCACCACCTCATACTACCTCATCCACCACCTCAAAAAAGGGGCCCGAACGGCCCCTATATTACTACTGGCACAGCGAAAATGAAAACTGAATAAATTCGATTTGCATGAGTGGCTTGCATAAGATAGCATTTGTATACGTATACTCCACACATACTGTACCTTTAGGAGACAAATTCATGTACCTTAACCGGATATGATTCTAGAAGAACCATTTGGTAGTTGTGTGGCTATTGTTTCGCGTTTAATAATTCAAACACCGCCGATATCCCGAGAAAATCTGCAAAGGGAATACACGTTGATATTCGTGCCAAATCCTGAACAAGATGAAGTATACGATGGCTTAATACACCGTGAGTACAAACAGGAAGCACCGACCGAGGTGCCTTATTATGAAGATGGGACGTTTGCATCGATGCAAGCTGCCACAAGGCGAAATTCCTTCGAATCATTTATCCGAAGTTTGAAGGCAAATGTCGGATTAATAATTTCGGTTGTTGTCATATTAGGTTGGCTTACAGTTGGAGTCGTCTAAGTGGACTTGAATTCAAATGACGCTTGTATAGAATGGATGCACAAACATCTTAGTGTTCCAGCGCACGTACAGACAGTACGGATTCTTGGAATGTCTGTCAAATTACTGCCGTTGTTTTTATGGTTTCCAGCATGCATCGCCTTGTTGTGGGGTTTCCAAGAGTTCAAAAAGAATTACCTTGCGTGTTTATTTTGCTGTGCGTTTGTACCAGGATCCATAACCTGTGTTTATAGAATTATTATGCTGGATAAGTTTACAAAAGTCGCTTACAACCCATACAGGTTAGTAAGTAAAATGATTTATATAATGCTATATAAACACTAGTTTGTAAATATTCTATAAAATGTTTGTTGAATTTTACGATAGCCACTTGGAATTTGAAAGAGAAAAAATCTCTACGTTTCGAGAAGAGTTTGGTGTGTATACATAGATGAGAGGAATGGATTGGAAACGTAATTTGGCACAGTCCATACAATCACAATCACATCTTTTGAAACGGAAAACAGCACAGCAATGCAATTAATAATCTTTTCCTAGCTTTGTCACTGAGGAATCAATCTTTTATAAATCCGTCGACAATGCGCATATTTCATGACAGTATCATAAATCTGTTATGCGAGAATGAGACCACCGAAACGATAATTAAGCAATTTAACATACGGAATCACGAGTTATGGGATTACAGGGTACTGACTAGCATTTATTGAAAATTGTTGTCAAACAGGATTTTAAAAAGCTAGAACTTATGTTTTCGTTTCGTAGACATAATTATTTCAAAATTATTTCATTTAAAAAGCGTAAAATAGTACAAATTCCTCAATAATTATTATTTAACAAATACTTTTAACACAGTTATAGTCAATATCACAGATGCCGCGAATGACGACAGTTTAGGAAACTGGTTGAAAACGTTTGACGAAGATGTCAACAAGTTTTTTCTCTTTCACAATCGAATGGTTGTCGTGAAATTCAAATTCATTAAAGAGAAATCATAAGCAAACTAATTATGACCTCACAAATAGACACACTGACGTAGCCCTTCCAGAGCAAAGAAGAGAATTTCAGCCAAGAATTGTTCAAGTACAGCGGGCTAAACTCACATTGATTCAGTAATTGCTAGGGAGGGAGGGAGGGAGGGAGGGAGGGAGGGAGGGCAGTGGGCACTTTGCGAAGTGGCGTCACTGTTTGTGATAATTTTCTTTGTTTTTTTTTACAGATTACTAGCCAATTTTCTATTTATGTCTTCTATTGGCTGTGGTGCTTACCTAGTCGCTCATAAGTTCAAGAAAGTCAACCCGGCAACATCGTACAGTGTGTTCCGCATTTTTTTCATCCTTTCGTTGGTTTTCCTAAGTTCCTGCTTATTTTCCTATATCTACACGTTTATTATCATCAAGTATTTTAGAGAAACTGAAGGCAAAATAAAGAAGGCCATAATCGCCGCACTCACGCCCGGGATTATCTTCCCAGGGATTGCATTCGTAAAATATCTTATTATTAGAAAAAGTTCGGAGATTATTACACCAGATCGCGCTTTTGTATTGTGTTATTTCATGCGCGGGGCCACGATCGTACTATACCGAACTATGCAGTCTGGTTTTCAAAATATCTGGCTTTTCGTTGGTTTATCACTGTTACATGGTATCTCAAACGTTCTGAGTAAGGCAACTCTCAACGTTCGTATAAAACTTTGGAGGTTTTTCGTAAAATATATTAACAAAATATGCTGTGGACCAAGATTGGAAGTGCAACCTTTAAATTCGCCACGTATTCGTCGATTCAACGCAGATCTTGAAATTCAGAATATCTTGTTCGAGTACACCACGGTCATCTTAAGTCAGGCGTATTTAGCATGTTATCTTGTAATGAGCTACGATGTCCCATCCTGGCAAGTGATAAAAGCTTCCTTAATCAGGGTAGCGATAAGTTTGGCCATAGATTTTGCATTCAATATTATGTCTGTGTTCATACAGATTCACTTTTATGACATTCCGATGCAAAAGATTTGGATGAAATACTGGAGACGACATGTCATTGCTAACGCTATCATGATCATCGTTTTTGTAGCATATTTTGGTACAGTGCTCATCAGGGTGGTCGCAGACGGCAATTACACTTGGAAAGCATACAGACTTAGAAATTGTACAACAATATTTTAAGCCTCGTTTGCCTATTACGATTACAGGGTTGTACACCTTCATAATCTGGAAAAACCAGGGCCGTCAAGCACTTCTTTCCTTCATTTTGCAGGTTTCGAAATATGACAAAAATAATTTCGCTAATAAGTTCTTCACTATATTCCATTAATAATCGCTATCAAGTCATATTACGATAGAAAATCCGACAAAAACTTTCAATAATTTAAACTTTCCAATCAAGTGTATAACTGTATATCAATGTCAAATTTTTAATTTTTAGATTCTAGACTTTGTAAGCCAATTCGCAATCTCGGGACAAAAGAACTTAGATTTTTTATTCTTTACAAATAGGGTTAGACAATAAGAAATAAAAAGATGGAAAAATTATTAAACGGAAGCGCCGGAAGCCTTTATTTTTCACAGCAGCCCTGGTAATCGGAGTCCGATCCGACTACGAAAATATTTTTCCAATCCGATCCGAAGTGAATATTATGGCTCCGAAATGCGAACGAATGTAGGCATACTGGGGTGTCCCAAAAAAGTCACCCTTAAGAAATCATTCTTGTGCGTTATTATACCTTTGCCTTTGGGAATTTATTTTAATTGAATGCACATGAACGGCGGAAGTATTTACAACTTCCCTTCGTTAATTAACACTTCGGTTACACTTTGCGTTAACGTATTAGGCCCCGTTTACACTCCACCGGATTACTTTTCATACCAGATTAAGTTTTACTCTGAAGTAAAAAATCAAGGGTGTTTACACTATGACGCTTCGCTCTGTTGGAAGTAACACCCGTTCTCTTTGTAAAGTATAACTTTGTTTAAAAAGCTTGACCGCCAGACGTTGCTTCGTTTCGCTCTAATCCACAACTTCAGAATATTTCTTTAAGTTTTGCTCTTTCGAAAGCGAAAAGTCGATGTTATTATCGTTTTCTTTACTTGTATTCGAGAGAAATAGTAAATGGTTGCAAGGCGAAACAAACAACAGCTATAAAGTATTGTAAAAGCGAGCAAATAAAAGCGACAATGTTAAAACATACACGCCAAAACCGGATTAGCCTGTTTACACTGCTCCGGCAGATACCAGATTACTTTTCATAACACCTCCAAAGCGGAGTGATTTTTGCTCCGCGTCGCGTACCGGATTACTGTGGCGTAGTGTAAACAGCAGCCGAATCCGGTATGAAAATCGCTACGCTCCGATGCAATCCGGTATAATGTAAACAGGGCCTATGTTGTTACGACAAATACTCGTTGCTCTGTGGACAGTTGAACCATTCTTACTCGAACTGACGCGGTAAAACGAACAGTGTAATTTGACATTTTTGTGTTGCTGTTCGTTTTAGAAACTATTTTAAATTCCCAGAGGTATAACAACGCACGTTTAACAACAAGAGTGATTTCCATGGGGGGACTTTTTTGGGACACCCCAGGATGTGGATAATGTGCATCTTCTAGCGAGGTCTGTGCATGTTCCGTTGATGTCTAGAAAAAGCTAATTCCCGCTTTCTGGGGCCGTGTTCTATACTCGCCAATAATGGAGATTAATCAGATTACAGCTGAAAGACTTATGTCAAACATGTTTAGGCTCACTATTAACTTCAGCTGCCTCTAACTCTCTCCTCCGCAGAGGTTATTAATTGTCCAAAGAACAATTAATAACCTCTGCGGAGGAGGGAGGCCTCGCAATTAATGTTGCAAGTCCACAGGTTCTGTTGATGTAGACAACGATAACGAATGCGACCATTCAGGCAATTTAGCAGGGCTCAAACATTTCTCGACCTATGGAATCCGCTTAAGTTCAGTCCTTTGTTGACGCTTACGCTAACTCCGTTCCTTTATTTCTACATTACGTGGCTTGTGTCACTAACTCATAGCTTAGAAACTACCGAAAACTGTAACTACTGATGGAATTTTGAAGTTTATTGAGAAGGTTAGTGGAAATATCCAGCAATTATGGAGTACTTCGTAAGTGCTGAACACTGCGCAGTTAAATGGCGCGTAGACGGCACAGCGAAGGTCAACACTCATGAAAACCAAGGAACTTATGGTTTTTGGGTTAGCTGCTAGCTATATCAATATCTCATTGCTAAATTAAGGAAAATAAAACGGTGCATTCACTGAAAATCACGGGCCTCTTAAAAGTCCAGGCTTGAGCCAATGGAGCGTTGTGAAAGACAAATTCACTTTTGATATTATGACGTGTTAAGTTATTCTATATCTTGAAGTCGATTTTAGTTCTGATGTGTTTATCAAATGCTACAGATTTACAATTATTTTGTTGTTTTAGTTTTCCTTTTATGAAGTTAGTTTTGGCATTATGGTGTTAGTTTTGGACTTATGATGTCAGTTTTCGCATTATGATGTTAGTTTTAGACTTGGTATTATGATGTTAGCTGGCATTATAATATTACCACGAACACTTGCGGTCGTAATACTAGGCGTGAAATGCATCATGGGAAGTCAATCAAAAACGAAAAAATGGCGGCAGGATTGATCGAAATTTGCAATGAATTATTAAGGTTGTCAAACGACTTTTCCTCAGTCTGTTGTTATCAGTCATGGTGAGATCGATTTTCACATCTCCCGACTCGCACAATCACTGTTTTAATAGGGAACTTAAGCATGTAGGACGGCAACACGACGGCGACGGCAACCAATACAATGAGTCAATGAAAAGATGTAAATAATTAAAGTCACAAGGGAGTTTCAAACGTATATATAGCCTAGTCGTCGCTCTGTTTACAACGGCAAATCACAGATTTTCACGTCTTTTATACAACGCCTGCATTTCAAGCCGTCACAAGTGCAACTTGAAGTTCGGTTCAGTAGAACTCTTCCCAAACATAAAGCCAATGT